CCAGCGTGGAGCCCAATGCAGGCCTCAGTCTCATGAACTGTGAGATCATGACCTGAGCTGAAATCAAGAGTCAGATGCTTAACTGAGCCACCCAAGTGCCCTTAGATTGCTTTTTTAAAATTTTGTTAAATTCCATTTTGTCTTGCTCAATTTGATTAGCTCTACCTCTTTTTAAAATTTTTTTTTTGGGGGGGGGGTTGCTTTAGGGTTTATGATACTTTAACTTACTATAGTTTACCTTCAAGTATTCTACCTCAACAAATAACTTCCATTTCTGACTTCTGCCCTTGTGACTTTTGTGCTATTCTCATACATTTTACTTCTCTGTTTATTGAATTATATCTACATTGTTATGTTTGCTTTAAACAGTCAATTGTGTCTTTCAAGAATTTTTTATTGTATGTTTTAAAAATATTTACTTTTGAGAGAGTGTGCATGTGCACAAGTAGGGGAGGGGCAGAGGGAGAGGGAGACAGAGAAACCCATGAGAGCTCTGTGCTGATGCAAGGCTTAAACCCACCAACCATGAGATCATGACCCGAGCCCAAATCAAGGGCTGGATGCTTAACTGACTGAGCCACCCAGGTGCCCCAAGAATTTTTTAAAATAAGAAAATGTCTTTTACACATGTGTTTACCATTTCTGGTGCTTTTTCCCTTTGTTTGTGTCTAGATTTCTATCCAGTATTATTTTCTGTCCAACTGCCGTTAACTTTCATATACTGCTTAGAATTCAAGGAGCAAATAGACTCCACTGTTCAGACACTAAGCTTTGTACTCCTACAGGGTGGGGACTTTAGTCTTTGACTGTTGGTAGCCACCTTGAACAGTCAGTCTTCTTTCTAGTGCACCTGCTCAGTGTCTTACACTCCTATCACTCTGGATTGCTGGATTTAGTCTTATTCTTTGTGTTCAGTTTTTGTGTGCTCTTAGAATCAACTTCATTCTATGTAAACCTGTGTCTGCCTCAAAAGACTGGAAATAGAAAAAAAAAATGTTTGCCAAATTCTTCAGAAAAAAATTTTTTTCTATACTACTGATCTGCTGTTGTTGAATTCTTTTCGTGTGTCATAAAAAGTCTTTAATTTAGTGTTAGTTTTTTGAAATATATTTTTACTGGGTATAGAATTCCAAATTGACAGGGTTTTGTTTTTTTCTTTTAGTACTTTTAATTTTTTTTAACGTTTATTTATTTTTGAGACAGAAAGAGACAGAGCATGAACAGGGGAGGGGCAGAGAGAGAGGGAGACACAGAATCTGAAATGGGCTCCAGGCTCTGAGCTGTCAGCACAGAGCCCGACATGGGGCTCGAACTCACAGACGGTGAGATCATGACCTGAGCCGAAGTCGGATGCTTAACCGACTGAGCCACCCAGGCGCCCCTCTTTTAGTACTTCAAAGATGTTACTTTACTGTTCTTTTGGCTTTCATCATTTCTAATTAGTTAGCTTTCATTCATATCTTTGTTCCTTTCTATATAATATATATATTTTTCTTTATCAGTGGTTTTAAGCAATTTATGTGCTTTAGTGTAGTTTTCTCCATGTTTCTGGTTGGAGTTTGTTAAGCTTCTTGAATCTGTAGGTTTGTGTTTTTCATCAAGTTTGGAACATTTTGAGATATTCTCTCTCTTTTTTTAAATGTTTGTTTATTTTGAGAGAGAGAGAACATAAGTGGGGGAGAGGGAGAGAGATGGAGAGAGAATCCCAAGTGAGCTCCTTGCTGTCAGCACAGAGCCCGAGGTGGAGCTTGATGTCACGAATTGTGAGATCATGACCAGAGCTAAAATCAGGAGTTGGATGCTCAACCTACTGAGTCACCCAGGCACCCCAAGATACGATTTCTTCAAAAACGTTTCTGTCATCTCCCTCCTACCAGCACACACTCCTCCCACCCCTATACTGCGTTACATATGTAATAGGCTGCTTTACATTGCCTATATAGCTTACAGATTCTTTTTTAGTCTTTTTTACTGTTTTTAGACAGTTGATACTGCTATAACTTCAAGTTCCCAGATCTTGTGCAGCAATCTAATTTTTCATCTTTAGACATCTGATTTGTATCTTTTTTCATATTTTTGCTCTCCTTAACATGCTTCCCTTACCTTTTTTGAACATATAAATTATATTTATTTTAGTTTTTTTAATATCCTTATTTACTAATCCTCTCATTTGTAGCATTTCTGTTTTGTTTTTATTTATTTATTTCTTCCTCATCGTGGGTCATAATTTTTTTTTAATATTTTTTTTTAACATTCATTTTTGAGAGAGACAGAATGTGAGTAGGGGAGGGGCAGAGGGAGAGGGAGACACAGACTCCAAAGCAGGCCCCAGGCTCTGAGCTGTCAGCACAGAGCCCAACGTGGAGCTAGAACTCGCAAACTGTGAGATCACCACCTGAATTGAAGTTGGCTGCTTAACTGACTGAGCCACCCAGGAGACCCTGCATGCTTTGTAATTTTTGATTGGATAGTAGACACTATGAATTTTTACGTTGTTAATTTCATGGATTTTTTATTCTTTCAAATAATTTTGAGCTTTAAATCTTTTGGAAAATATTTAATCATTTGGATGATTATGTTGTGTTAAGCAAGACCAGGTAGCCTTTAATCTCAGGCTAGTTAGGTTTCACAAATGCCTAAGTATAGAACCTTGTATATTATGAGGTGTCTCCACTGTGGTTGTTGTGAATGTGAACTATTATTTGTCTTTTGTGGCCTCTGAGAATAGATCTGCCTGCTTCTTGCTGCTGGGTCTTCCCTTGGCTTCTAGTAACTTCCTCACAATCATGCACCTACCAGAACACAGCTGACATACACAGGGGCCTTCTCGCACATCTCCAGGGCCCTCTTCCCGTGTAGCTCTTTCCTTTCTAGAACTCTGCCCTGTGAGTTCTTGCTGCCTTGGCTTTTTGAATTCCCACCTCCATCTCTTTAAATTGGGAAGACCACTGGGCTTGGAGTTTCCCCTCTCTGTGCTGCCGCCTAGGAACTCTCTAGGCGGTAAGATGGAGCAGTTCTAAGGCATACCCCATTTATTTCCCTTCTCTGGGGGACCATGGGCCTGCACTGCTTGTCTAGTGTCTGAAAATTATTAATATAATTTGGCCCTTTTTGTTGTTATTGTTTAAAGTGGGAGGATAAATCTAGTCACTGTTTCTCCATGATGGTAGGAAGCAGAAGTCTGCTCCTCTTTTTACACATTCTTTTCCTTGTACATGTCATACCTCTTTGCATGACTTCATTTATTTTTGTGGGCTTCAGTGGACATGGCTCCTAAATCTTTATGTCAAGACTGTCTTCATTCCTTGGTTCAGTGCCCCCATTCCTGCTGTATATTTCCATTTAGGTTTTTCTTTTTCCTTTTATTTCAAATGCAATACAGTTTCCTTCCAACAAAGTCCACTTTCAGTTGTTCATCTTTCTATTATTTGAAGCCTGACTCTCCAAGTTCCAGAAGTTCGAATTCCTTTTCATTAGCTCAAACTTGGTACCTAAGTTCTCTCATTTTTTCTGTTACTTTTGTCTTCATTTTTGTGCCCTTCCTTCCCACCTGTTGCCTCGTTTGCAGCCTTACATCCTTGCATTTAGGCTTTTGCCATAGGTTCTGATTTCCCTGCTCTCTCCTCTCTGCATCAAGTCAGCCTGCATATGCCACCACATGGTGTTACTAAAATACCACTCTATCACTCAGAAATCACCAGTACCTTCCTTATAAATTATCAGCTCTTTATCCTGGCCTTTCAGGTCCTTGACAATTTGATCCATCCTGCCTTCTCACCATTAACTTCACTTATTTATTTTTATGAATTCTTCACCCCTGCTTCACAGGATTTTCCAACCCGTTTTCTGAATATGCCCTATACTTCTTTTTCCTCATACTTTTCCCTTTACATATAGTAGCCCTTTCTGGTTCTTGGTGCATCTAAATGTCAGCCTTCTTTCAGAACCCAGCTTAAATACTTCTCTTCACTCTTCTAAAGCACACCAACTCATAATAATCTCTTCTTCCTTTGAACTCCTCTTTAGCCTCTATAATATTTGCTAGGCAATAAAATGTTTGCGATTATTAGATATTTGATGTTGACCCATTATTTATCTCTTTCATGCTTTCAAAATATGTTTTTCTATGACTCCTAATTAAAATTCTTGAAGAGAGATCATGTTTGTGTGGTTTTGTATATTCCTTATAGGACAATACTATACTTGCACTAATAAGTGTTCGTAGCTGGGTTCCTGGGTGGCTCACTCGGTTAAGCGTCTGACTTTTGATTTCATCTCAGATCATGATCTCACAGTTTGTGAGTTCAATCAAGCCCTGCATCGGGCTCTGTGCTGACAGTGCGAAGACTGCTTGGGATTCTCTCTCCCCCCACTCCTCTCTGCCCCTCTACCACTCATGCTTGTTCTCTCTCTCTCTCTCTCTCTCTCTCGCTCGCTCAAAACTAAACTTAAGGGGCGCCTGGGTGGCTCAGTCGGTTGAGTGTCTGGCTGCGGCTCAGGTCATGATCTCATGGTTCGTGAGTTCGAGCCCCACGTCGGGCTCTGTGCTGACCGCTCAGAGCCTGGAGCCTGCTTCAGATTCTGTGTCTCCCTCTCTCTCTGACCCTCCCCTGTTCATGCTCTGTTTGTCTCTGTCTCAAAAATAAATAAACATTAAAAAAAAAAACAAAACTAAACTTATATAAAAGTTCACAGATACTGACTTCAGCTTAGAAATATGAAGATATAGTATGCTACTTGTCTTGACAGTGTAACAGATTTCTTCCCTTCTTTACATAAATTTTTATAATCTTAATATTATCACAGAAGAAAGTTTCAGAAGTATATCCTAGTTACACTGACCATAGAAAAAGTATATAGGATCAGTAGAAATTGCTATTGCAGTATACTTGACAAAAGACACAAAAAACCTTTTATCATTTATTTTCCCATATTTAATTTTTATTTATTTGAAATATATTTAGTTTTTGAGACAACTCACTATAGATTCTGTTTTTCAGATTTGCTTTCAAATATCATCATGTATGCACCCTTAGTTCTTCAAAGTTGTTCTGCTAAAGTCACAGAAACTTTTGACTATTTATCCTTTCTGCCGCTTCAAACTGTACAAGGGCTGCTGAAGGCAGTGCAGGTAAGTCTTTAGACTCCTAAGGAATTTGGCAAAACTGAGGTTGAACTGCCTAATGGAAGTCTCATGTGATTCTTCATAAATACAAATGTCTGAGAAATCCTGTATTCCTTGGTTTTGAAGCATAAAACTGTATTAAAAGTGCACGAGCACCGAGCGAGACTCTGTTTCTAAGTGTACCCCCTTCTTCCTGGCACACTTGTGTCTCCCATGACTCATTGTCAAGTTAGTGAGATAATTGTAAAGCTCTTAGAAATTTGATGACGATAGGTTTATTTATTTATTTTTTTTATTTTTTATTATTTTTTTTTAATGTTTATTTTTTGAGACAGAGAGAGACACAGCATGAGCAGGGAAGGGGCGGAGAGAGAGGGAGACACAGAATGTGAAGCAGGCTCCAGGCTCTGAGCGGTCAGCACAGAGCCCGACGTGGGGCTCGAACTCACGAACTATGAGATCGTGACCTGAGCCGAAGTCGGACGCTTAACCGACTGAGCCACCCAGGCGCCCTGATGACGATAGGTTTAAAGGCATTTCACAATTAGTTTAAATTTAGTATTTCAAAGTATGCTGTTGTCCATATTACTAAGTGTAATAAGCATTGAAACATGTATGTAAAAACAGAACCAAATTTCGTTATATAAGCCAAATAGTGACAGTTTTGGGTAGAAATGAGCAAAGACTAATAAACTTGGGGGTTTTTCTACTTCTTCTTTGTCTTTCAGCCCCTTCTCAAGGTCAGCATGTCAGTGAGGGACTCCCTGATACTTGTCCTTCGGAAAGCCATGTTTGCCAGGTATTGAAAATCCCGTGAGACCCTGGGAAGTAGTGCCTTCTGATGTTACTCACCATCTTCTCTGCCGTCTCCTTGTACAGCCTGTTCACAGTGGTCCTGCAGATGTCTAACCCAACAGAACAGCTTTCATCAGGCACAGCCTTGTGCTACGTGCAGGGTTCTTTATCTCATGCAGTCTTCAGAGTAACCTGTAAAGTTAGAATTATTACAGTCTCCTCCATACAGATCAGGAAACTCAGGTCTAGAGAAGATAAGTGACTTTCCAAAAGTCAAACAAAGGTTCGTGGAGCTGGAATATGAGCTTCTGATCTCAGGTACTCTGCTGTACACCCCTAGAATAATCTTCAGGACAAGGTTGCAGTGCCAGCTGGCAAGAGTTCTAGAAAGGAAAACATCTTCATTAGGAAAATATTCAAGAAACTCACTCTAGTGAATATTGAGTTATGGTCTAGTGACTGTAGACTAAATTGTTAAGCGGTCTCAGGTATTTTTTGGCTTAGTCAATGCCTCCTGATCTCTTTTCCTTTATTTCTTAGTGTATAAGCTAAAGATGATAATACTACCTCCCAAGAAGTATTATGGGAGCTAAAGATGATATTACTACCTCCCAAAAAGTATTATGGGACCAGTAATAGGTGGAAAACATTTGGTACTTTAAATATATGATGCTCAATTTTTTTTTTTTTTTAATGGTTACTTATTTTTGAGAGACCGCACAAGTGGGGGAGGGGCAGAGAGAGAGAGGGAGACACCAAATCCAAAGCAGACTCCAGGCTCCGGGCTCTGAGCTATCAACACAGAATCCCAACGCGGGGCTTGAACTCATGAACTGTGAGATCATGACCTGAGCCCAAGTCGGACACTTAACCAACTGAGTCACCCAGGCACCCCTAAGATGCTCAGTTGATGTCACGTTGACTCTATTATAATGTGTTTGCGGACATACAGAGGAACAACCAGCAAGTATATACTATTATCCCTCTTCTAGAGTTGACAGTTTTTTGGTATTCCTTACCTAGAGGTATGTCTGCTAGGCCAAGGTTTGTATGTCATAACATCTCCCCCATGAATTTGATCATTGAGCCTCAGTGAGATGAATGTATCATTTTTCTGGATGGAGGGTTTACAAGGCGCCAAGCACTATACTCCTCTGCAAAGAAGGGAAGTGGTCCTTCAGACAATCAGCCGTTTCTATCCTACTTAGTACTTAATATTTGAGTTATTGGCCCATTGTATAGCTTCTCAGTACTCTTGTTCCTCACATAGAAGAAAGTATAGATCGTGTCATGAGGTTAACTAGATAGTGAGAAATCAGCTGAGTTCCTCTACTGCTAACTGCTGTGAACAGCTGATGTTTTATTTTGAGTATATAAATTTATTTTATTTTGCTCTGTGCTTCATTACTTATTCATATTCCTTTTCTGTACAGAGGTAACTGGCTTTTTCTGACCCAGAAACCTATTCCTGTGAAGCTAATATTGTTGGTTAACTATTTCTCTGTCTGTTCCTGAGCTAGCCAGCTTGATGCCCGAAAAGCTGCGGTTGCTGGGTTTTTGCTGCTTCTGAAGAACTTTAAGGTTTTGGGCAGCTTGTCCTCCTCCCAGTGCAGTCAGTCCATCGGTGCCAGCCAGGTAAGGACTGTTAACACTGGGTTGTCGTGTGCATTCGTGCAGAAGTTGGTGATGTGTATGCTGTTCTTTCTCTCTCCTGCTCTGGTTGTACAAATGACCCTGAAACAGAGTCTGATGATGATGGCAGTGATAACAGCTAACACTTACTTAAAATGATGGGTTTGCTGTGTGCTAGACAGTGCTCTCCACCACGGTAGCTACTAGCCTCAGTGTGGTTGTTGAACTGCATGCTCAGTTGAAGTGTGTCTGGCCAAATTGAGTCACACTGTATGTGTAAAATGCATGCTGCATTTTGAAAATTTAGTGTGAGGTAAGGGAAAATAGCTTGTTGTTTTTAATTTCGATTACATATTGAAATAGTTTTGATATATTTGGTTAAATGTTAAAGTTAATTTCACCAGCATCTTTTTACTTTTTGAATTTGACTACTAGAAAATTTTGAATTAGCAATGTGACTCGCATTTGTGGTTTGTCCTGCTAGGTGGTGTGCTAAGTGTTTTATATTTATTATGTCATTTCATCTTCCTGGTAATCCTCTGAGTCTAGATGTTATTATTATCCCCATTTTTAATAGTTAATTTACTTTGCACAGCCTGGTAATCTGAGAAAATAAGACTTTTTACAGTATTTTGGTAATTCAGACTTTGGAGCAATAAAATTTTTTTTTTTATTTAAATTATGTACTGTGTGATTTGTAAATAGCAAATTAATGAAACAATCTTATTAGGAATCCTTTGTTGCTCTAGTGTGATTCCAAAAAACTTTTGTTCATAACATATGGCACAGACTAAATATTAGGAACACTGGGTGTCATTAGTGTATTGTTAAAATCATCCACATCTTAATAAGACTAAGGCTGAGGAAGGTTAAATGACTTGCCCAAGGTGATGTAAGCAGTGAAGGGTAGAGCTAGGATTTGATCTGTCAGTATTAACTACCTCACTGAGATGCCTATAGTAAGGGTTAGGAGTCTTGGTGTATAGTTACTGGATTTATTATTTAAAACAAGGGCTGTAATTCTTTGTCTTGTCCATTTCTAAACTAAACATTACCTACCTATAAAACTCTGAGGATTTTGTGGAAGCAAAAAGAGCTAGATTGTGCTAGCTCCTGAAAATATTTCAGGAAGCATTTAGACCTTTTAAGTATAATCAAGTATATTAAGACTACTGGATTCTAGTGGTGAAATCATCTGTGTGCCATCCTAAGCACCTGACATTGCCAAGGAAGACCTTAAAGGATGGAGAAGAGTTAATTTTGTTGAAATGCTTGAAAATTCTTACTCCAAACCAGAATAAGAGTGACACTTATCACATCCTACTGATGATTTTTGCATATGGGGAAAGCTAAATTGAAGTTTCTTTGACCAAGAACACGGGCTCATTTTACCTTCTTTGTGAAAATTAATTTGGTAAAATACACAAGAACTGGCCTCTCTTCCTTTCAGGTCCATGTGGATGTTCACAGCCGTTACAATTCTGTTGCCAATGAAACTTTTTGCCTTGAGATCATGGATAGTTTGAGGAGATGCTTAGGCCAGCAGGCTGATGTTCGACTCATACTTTATGAGGTAAATCAGAGTGGAAGAAATATAGCAACCCCCAACTAATAATCTTTTTTATTTTAGTAAGTTTTTTCTGATTGTAAAAGTACAGTTCACTCTTCCTTGATGCAGTTAGGATTGGTAGTTTTGTGATGGCTAGCCAAAAGGTTGTTTAAGGTGAGGAATCATAAAGAATATTTGAGGTGCACCTGGGTGGCTCATTTGGTTGGGCATCCAACTCTTGATTTTGGCTCAGGTCATGATCTCACCATTCTTTTTTTTTTTTTTTTTTTTTTTTTTTTTTTTTTTTTTTTTAAATTTTTTTTTTCAATGTTTATTTATTTTTGGGACAGAGAGAGACAGAGCATGAATGGGGGAGGGGCAGAGAGAGAGGGAGACACAGAATCGGAAACAGGCTCCAGGCTCCGAGCCATCAGCCCAGAGCCTGACGCGGGGCTCGAACTCACGGACCGCGAGATCGTGACCTGGCTGAAGTCAGACGCTTAACCGACTGCGCCACCCAGGCGCCCCATGATCTCACCATTCTTGAGGTCGAGCCCCACGTCGGGCTCTGTGCTGACAGTGCACAGCCTACTTGGAATTCTTTCTCCGCCCCTCCCTTGCTCACGTACACATGTGCACACATACACTCTCAAATCAACATTAAAAAAAAAAAGGAATGTCCGCACCTGATAAAAGGAATCTGAAACTTGCGTCTGAAATAAATGGTGAAAGACTAAATGTTTTTCCCTATAATCAAGAATAAAGATACTTGTTCAGCATTATAGTGAGGGTTCTATCCAATACGACGAGAAAAAGAAATAAAGGCATACAGATTTGAATGATGAAATGTGGCTGTCTTGATTTGCACTGTATGTAGACAGCAAAGAATCACAAAAAAGTGAGTTTAGTAAGGTGGGATACAGAAACCAATTTTATACTAGCAGTGAACAATTGGAAATCAAAAAAAATTTATGATAAAAATAAAACACTTAAGGATAGGTTTAACAAAGAATGTACAAGATATGTGCACTGAACACCTCAAAATATTGTTGGGAAATTAAAGAAGAAAAGGTAAATGAAGGATGTGCCATGTTTATAGATTGAAATGCTCAGCACAGTATTTTTAGTAATTTTAGTCTCAAAAAAGTCTGTAGATTCAGTGCAGTCCCAACTGAAATCCCAGGATTTTTTGGACAGAAATGAAGTTGATTCTAAAATGTAAAGGACCTAGGGGTGCCTGGGTGTCTGTCAGTTGGGTGTCTAACTCTTGGTTTTGGCTCAGGTCATGATCTCACAGTTCATGAATTTAAGCCCTGCATCGGGCTTGGAGCATCCTTGGGATTCTTCTCTCTCTCTCTCTCTCTCTCTCTCTCTCTCTCTCTCTCTCTCT